GAGGTGAGCAATGTTGCTATGTATCATGCCTGACTGTATTATTGTATTATCTCTCATGCTCTCGATGACTTTAATATAATGCTTATATATCTCAACCGTACAATTGTGCATTACTGAACCCAGAGGTAGTATTACTGAACCTGTGAGTTCAAGTACCGGGTGGGGCTGGCACCTCACCCCCCAGAGACAATTTTATTTAATACTACACACACCCCTCTGCAGCTGCCTAAGGTTCAAGGGTTCGATCCCGAGGCAGGGCCTTCACGGGTGTTTTGCTTCCTTTTGCTTTCATCTCGATAAGCCTTGAGTGTTTCCATTTTTTTTAATTGATCGTATTATGATGAAAACATAAGGGGCCAAATGTGGCACCCTGGGGCGGGGGTGGGAGAGGAACACCACTGTCAAGCTGCCTGCCTGTCCCGTTTAGGAGCCATCCAGGTGCGTGAGAAGGACAGACACTGGCCCCTCCCCTCCCCCAGCATAGCAGACTCGGGCCCAAGCCATTTTAGGAGTCCAAGGACATGTATGGAGGAACAGGAGCTATACTGGGAGGGAGAAGGTGGTTATCATGTAGGGAATCGGCTGCCATGACAACAGGGAAAGACTTGAAAGTCCCGGCCTTGGGATGGTAAAATGATGAGTGGTGAGGGCAGCCTGAAACATCCCGCATCCTTGACCCATGCTGGCCACGACTGACTGGGCACACAGGTGCCCTGAAAGGCAGTGCCCGATTAATGGCATTGAATCCCCATATAGTGCAAGGGTTTCTGCCTCCCTTGTAGGTCCATTTGTTTCTGTTTGCACTCTGGTCCTCTGGGTTGACATGGTGACAGTAGATGGAGTAACACCTTTCACTCCTGTGCTCAAGGTAGCAGGGAGCCTTGCAGTTGGATAAATAGCCCCAACTGGAGGCTGATATTTCTGCTTTTTGTTCCTTTCTTCATTTAAATTTGAAACATTGGAAAGCAAATGTTTTGAGAATGATGAGGGTAACGAATGTACACATGTACTTTATACAATTGATGTATGTATGGATTGTGATAAGAGTTGTATGAGCCCTCAATAAAATGATTTAAAAAGAAAAGAAAGAAGGGACAAAAAGTAAAAAAAAATTTTTTTTTTGAAACGTAAAACTCTTATTGAATTATTGGGAAAAACTCCTTATTTTCTTTCTGATGGGGCCCTCCGGAGGAGCATTCCCTTCTCTGTGAGAGTACATGCCTTCTGTGTTGGGAGCTGTTGGGGGGACTTGATGCTCTGGGCCTCTGCTGATCTCTGCTCCGATCTCTTGCCATTGGCTGGGAAGACCCCAATCCTGCCAACCCTTCTTGGTGTTCTTTTGACTTAAACCTCTTCCTAAAATCTTTTGTTATAACAATGGGTCCAGATATCCCTTTATGGCTCTTGCATGGGTCCTCAAGTTTTTGGATTTTGTGTTCCTGCAGCCTTGGGATGATCCCTCGAGCCACCATGAGAACATTTCGTAAGTTCCACACTGGCACGTTCCCATGGGCTCCATGGTTGAGATGGGGTTTCGAGGCCTGAGGAGTCAAGACATCTGAGGCAAGGAGCGCATCTGAGGCACGGAATCCAGCAATTATTTTTCTTGATTTCCAGGTCCTTTTGTGTCGTAATTTGAAAATGATGAGCCTTTCTTCCCCCGTGAAATTTACACTTGTGAACATCCACAGTGGACAGATCTATTCTGCTCTATCAGGTGGCTGAGGCGAAATCGACTCCATGGCTTTGAGTTTGGCTATCGTGGATTCATGTAATTAAACGACACGTGTTCCCAATGTCGGCACAGGTTTAATAGTTTTTCTCTACAGCTCACTACATGATCACACTTAAATATTCTAGTCCCTTCTGCCAAGTTCATTGCCCCAGCCTTCCCAGCTGCTGCCACCTTTTAGAAATTGTTAGTCCCTAAGCACATGACAAAGGAGCCCTGAGGATGTAGGGCAGGGGTGCTCAATATGTTGATCGCGATCTACTAGTCAATCGCAAAGGTCCTGTGGGTAGATTGCATGGCATTTAAAAAAATAGACGTAAGCCTATCGTCAATCCTATCACTTAATTGATATACAGCACAGCCAATCAGATACAATCTTAGTAGTCACACGGATGCACAAACAATGGCGCTAAGTGAGCAAAACTGACGAGCTAAGTTAACGCCAATTTTTAGACCTTGGTTTTTTTCCTCTTAAACGTTAAGAAAGGGTATTAAAATGAGTGGGGGAGCTGGACCAAGTAAGAAGACAAAAACGTATCACTTTCACACAGAATGGGAGATTTTGACAATACAAGCCGACATTCAGCTGAAGTCCAGAGCGCAGGAACAGTTCTGGAACTTACTCGCAGAGGGAAAGTACCCAAACATGAGAACATGTGCTACCTCCTTGACTGCATGATTCGGCTCTACTTATTTATGTGAGTCAGCCTTTTCCCACACAAAGATCATTAAGTCCAAGTACTGTTCTACCATGACTGATGATCATTTGGAAGTGTGCTTGAGGCTGGCTGTCAGCAGCTACTGTCCGGACTATGCCTCCCTGGCTCATTCCATTCAGTGCAAGTCATCAGAGTAAACTCGGGTAATGACAAAAAATGTACATAGTTAATTGTGTTGTGTTGTGCACTATGCACTCATGTGGTTATGCAAGGTGCATAAACATACATTGTACATATCAAGAATTCTCAATGCATTTATGAATAAATGTAATAAATAAATAAAAATAAATACATGTTTCGCATTTTTATAGTTGGTAGATTTTTTTTTTTTTTTTAAGCATAAGGGAAGAAATTTATCGGAGCCCATACGGGAAACCCTAGAGGCGCCCAGCATATCCTACTGTGTACGCATGCCCAGCAAAGGGTCACACCATTCACTGTACCCCCATGGCCCAGAGGGACTCCCCTTGAGCCAAGCCCCAAAGCCCCAGGACTGGCTGGGGGTGGGGACGGGTTTTGACTTGATCATTTTATAAATAACTTGCATGCTGAAAAGGTGTGAGCACCCCTGATGCAGGGTTTACATGCTGTGGCTTTTTTGTTTTGTTTTGTTTTTACACACGGGCGCTTTATTGAGTTTGCTGATAGGTGGAGATACATGCACAAACAGCTGTGGACAGGAGCGGGGGGCAGGCCGGCCAGGGGTCAGGTAGTCCAGCAGGGCAGGGCTGGAGGGTTCAGGACACAGCATGGTGCAGTGGCTAGTGGCCTTGCTGGCCCATCATCTGTGACAGGTCTTGGAAGCTCATCACTCTGCCCGTGGTGAGAAGAATGACGAAACTGAGGATTCCCAGGAGGCCGAGGACTGTAGAGAAGATGTTCAGGTACTTGGAGGTGGATATGTGGCTCTGGGCCAATCATGTCTCCATCTTTCGGTCCCTAGATTTCACAGAGTAGGTGTCGTAGGCCACGAAGGCAGCAGCAGTTGAGGAAGAACACGTTGAAGAGGGGCCAGACGACGTGGTGGGGCACGTGGGACTCACCCTGGATGTTGATTACGGTGGACTGCATGGGGGTGGTGTGGTATGGGGCCCGCAGCCCAGCAATCTTGAGCTCCTCTTGAGCCATCTCTTGGGTGTGACGATACAGAGACCCGGGGTCAGAAGCCATGCTTCAGGTAGGCTCTCGGGTGTCCGAACTCAGTGTGGCCTGCTAGAAGGGCTCCCCAGGTACTGTCATCCTGGGCCTGCTGGAAGGGCTCCCAGAGGCAAACCTCCCCCCAAGCTGTGGTTTTAATCCCTAGGCCAACAGTTTAAGACCACAAGCAGCTTTTATTGAGAAAGACTGAGCTTTCTCAATATTCCCTAAAGAGTAACAGTCTTTAGAAACTCAGTTCTACCTCCACCCCCCACCCCCCCGTAGTGTTGCGCTGAGTTGGCATCAATTTGATGGCAATGAGTTTCTTTTTGTGTTTCTTAACTTTCGTCCTTTTGGAAGAACAGACAGAAAATATCCCGCACCCCAGGTTCTTAGTAAAGGCCTCCACAGAGCTGTTGGAGCTCTGACTGATTAATGCAAACGTGAAACTGAGGTACCGGGAGACAGACAGACATAACTGACAGGACAAGGGAGAGCAGAAACAGAAACAGCTTTATTAGGGGGGAAGCTCCCAAAGGAGGTTCCTTGTGACCTAGGCCAACAGGCCAGGGAAGTCGTGCTCAGCAGCTGGGGGTGCGGGTTTTTAAAGGGGTGGTGAGGAATGTTTGGCAACTATGGCAATTTGCATATGGGGTCTGGAAACTGAGAATTGCTTGTGTACTCCTTGCTTCTGGTTTCACTGGTTATCTTATCTGGCGTCCTCTGCTGCTGACCTTTGGGTTGTGCAGGGACCGGACCTGCTTCAGCTTGGTCCGAACAGGGCTGCCTAGTTCAGACCCGACCCAAACAATTCCCCCTATCTTCGCACTCCTGAGAGCTGCGGTGTGTAGCCCTTGACCTTGTGCTCTCTAAACTGTCATGTCGTCATTTCTGCTGTCAAATCTTTAAGTGGATCTTTAAAAGCAGGTGGGGCGCAGAGGCATCAGGTCCCGTTCCTCTCCAGACTCTGCCTACAGCACTCTGCACAGCAAGACTCCTCCCTTCTCTTGGCCCCGCCCCCAGCTGACTTCCGGACCGCCCATTACGTACAGATCCCGCCCCTCCCGACGTAGCGCCGCGTCCCGCTTTGATGACGCAACTTCCGGCCGGCCGCACTTCTTCCCGGAAGAGAACGCTTGCGACTGGGGGCTCCGGAAGGTAGGTGCTTGTTTGTGTCTAATTGAGTGGGGTGCGCGGCGTGCACTGCGGGCCCTGCGCCCGCAGCTGTTTCCGGGGTCTCCGCGGACGTTAAAGCGCCCGCACCCCGTCCTCCCCGTTCCTGGGTCTCGCGGCCCTTGTAATCTTTCAGGTTAAAATCCCTCCTGGCCGTTCGCCGATCTCTCGTACTTTGGACTCAGGAGACGCTCTAGCTGCTGTTTTCCTGTTAGCAGGGCCTCACCGACCCTTGCTCCCACCTTGGAAAGGCCCAGCGCGCGGTGCGTTCTGACTTTTGACCTGATCCTTGCGGGTGGAATCGGGACCATGAGAGGGCTCGACCCCAGGCTGGCCCTTTCCTTTTATACCCAAAAGAGATTAACCACAAGCCATTTCATAGAAAAGCCTTTATTAAGGGTTGGTTCGAGAGGGGTTTGGAAACTGACCTTTGCGTTTCTGGAAAACTTCACCCAGGACAAAGAAAGTATAATATTGTTATCGTTCAAAGTAGAGGGCTGGCTTAAAGGAAGGGATATTCAAGCAGTTGCATTCTTATCAGACTGGCAGGGTATGAGAGTCCAAGGGGAAACAGCACAGCTACAGGCAAAAATTCAAGGTCGAACTGGATAGTTTATCTAGCTTGGTAATTGGGCAGACAGAGCCTAGAGACATCTCTGAGAGTTTAAAACAGACACGGACCGAAGGTGGAATTGAGACAAAGAACATGAGGTTAAGAGCGGCTTTATTAGGGTGGGGAAAGAGTTCCCAGGAGGGCAAAGGAGAGCAGAGAAAGGTATGGGAGCAGGGAGCATTTTGAGCTCCTGGGTGGGTTCTGCGACTCAACGAATTAGGTCAGGGAAACACGTCTGTCTGTGGGGTGGTGAGATGTTTGTAGGATTTGGGTCAGGGAACTATGCAAATGAGGTGAAGAAATCTGATGGTGCTTGCACTGATAAGGAAAAGGGAGGCTTGCTTCCTGGTGCTGCAGCTGCAGTGTGAGTCTTTTACAGACCTGCTTCTTGGAATGTGGGGGAAGAGGCTGCACAGTCCGGCCTTGAGAGGCTGGGGGGAGGGGCCCCACAGTCCAGCAAACTATCTTCCAGGGGAGCTGGGAGAAGGTGCTGCACAGACCAGACCCTGCCCAGACAATCTCCAGAGAGTCAAGGTCTGTCAGAGAGCAGGGAGGGGAAGGAGAAAGAAAGGGGCCTAGCTGCTAGCAGTTGGTTGGAAGCAGTTTCAAATAAATTGGAGCCTTCTCACGCTGAGCTGGGTTACTACATTACTGAAAGAGAAGCCAGCCATGCAGTCATCGCCCTTTATAGTGTCCACTAAGATCCTGGCTGTGTGTGGAATCTGAATGGCCTCTGCCCATCAGAACAGCTTGTGCCTGTTTTAGAGTGCAAAAGACTCTAGTCTCAAATGTAATTTAAGGAAGACTTTTTGTTCAGTCTGAAAAGAGACAAAAGATAGGGACACATTATCCAGATTGGACAGCCATTAGGACAAGTACAAAATAGCTTCTGGGTATTCAAATTGGGGATCTAGTTACATAAGGCTTAGAATAAAGGAAGCCTAAAAATTCACGATCCTTGACAGATCAATACATCACAGTTAAATTTGGGATTGAGAAGCAGGAACATAGCCATGACTGGGGCAGTACATTGTCAGATAGAAGATCTTATGAGATTGGTTCAGGGCCCTCTAACCAAGGCAGTCAGGGCACAACTGATAGGGTGTGTCTCATGACTGACGCCTTCCCCGGGACTGGCCTGAGTGAAGTGGGGGTAATGCACTTTCCAAAGCCCTCTGTCACCTGGCAAAGTTATCTACCTCCTTGCTTAATGATCAGAGTCCAGAAGGCTTAATCTGTGTGGGGACCCCACAAATGGCTTAAGGGTATCACTACTCTGCATAAATGTACTCACTTTCAGCAGTAGATTCCAAACCATAGCAGCCTTCCATAGCTCTTGGGAAACCGGATGCTCAGAATTTAAGCTGTAATACAGCTCCCGAGATTTGTCTCTCAATCTCTGCTGATACAGGGCCTCTCCACTCGGGATGTGCAGGACCCCCTGGTGGATAGCTCCTTGACTAAACTTCACCTCAGAGGTTGAGTTTACTGTCGACTCCATTTCCTTTACCATTGGATACTCCCCTCCTTGCCCTCCACTACCCCTCTTGGCTGTTACAACAGTGAGTAGATTTAATGTCTACTCAAACTGTTCCTTAGGGACTTTCAGAGATCCTTGAGGGAAACTGGCCTCCTTTGGGCTTAGTCATCAGTCACTTCACTGTGCCACTGACGGGCCACAGCAGATGAGATGCAGTTCCTTGGCCCAGAAATACAACTTAAGCATGTCCCTTTCACCCTGTTCTTGATCTTATGCCCCCTCTAGGAAACGTTGAATGGTGACCACATCTTTTGGTATTGTGACTGGTGTCCTCTTTTCCCTCTTCTTTTGGAGTTTCTTGAATCATCCAGCATGATACTGCCGAATACTGTGATTCCAACTTGAGCGTTGAATTATTGGTTTCTTCTTGCAGCTTGGGATTTACTGATGGGGGGGGGCTCTCTACTTTTGGTTATCGTATTCCTGGTTTTTGCACATTCCTTTTTAGTGTCTCCTCTGACACCCACTTTGGTCTTTTTTTTTCTTGCCTGTCTTATAAATGGCATTGCTCTTCATGTATGATGTGCTTGATGCCATCCTACAGCACTTCAGTTCTTTGGTCGCTGGTGTTCAGTGGATCAAAGCTGCTCTTGAGATGGTCTCTAAATGTAGCTGGGATGTACTCAAGGGTCTCTTACACTCGGTGTTGGTTCCAGTCCATAGCACCTGTATCTTACAGCTTCCCTCTCGACGCCAGAAGGAAAGACCGCCTGATTCTGCACCTTCCTCTCAATTGCTGTTATGTCCTAGCCTATTGGTGCAGCCCCTGGTCTGTCCGTCTCTGCCAGGGTACCTGTTCTGTCGCCAAACATTCTCCACTTCCTAGTCATTGAGTTCATTACAAATCCACTCAGACCTGAGGGGCAAGATGGATGATTAAGGTGTTTATCGATGAAGTTATCAGGTTGCAATGCAGGTGGGAAATGCACAGGATAGAGTTATTCCTGTTGTGCATGTTAGAGTTCTTTGGGAGTGCTGGACAGCTCAACAGGTGAGGGGGGTTGCTAATAAATGGCCAAAAGGTTTGGCCTTGGACTTTAAGCGCCAGTCCTAAGATACTAATTTCCAGCTTGCATAGGTCAGCTAACCCAGCTCCCCCAATTGAGGCCCTAGAGGCACCCCCTCCACATGCTAGCCTCCTGTCCAAATGGACTCAGCTTTACTTTGTGTGTCCTGCTCCAGCTCCTGCTTCTGGTTCTCCTACTAACCTCCTCCATTCCTCTCAGGTCAAAGGTCTCTGTGGGCAGGAGGTTCACATTTCTTAGCCCGGGGCTGGTATGTGGAAACTCCTCAGACTTTGCCATTATTGCCAGAGGAAGGGCAGGTGGAGCTACATGAACAATGCAAGCCTGTGCTTCTGGGATCCTCAGTCAGCATCTGCCTTATATGCAGACACCCTCAGAATGCAACATGATCTTGAACCTAGGAGGAATCTCTAGCCAGGGCAAGAGTCACAGGCCAAGATGCTGGCACTTCCTCCATACTGAACTGTGTGTTCTTCCATTTCAGGTCCCAGGTGTGGTGAAGGGAGACCTGGTCTATTGTAGGAAGCTGGAGACTGAACACAACGTTCTTGCTCATCCAGGCATCCTGAGTCAGGGTTTTAACCCCTCTGACTGACTGTGGACCACACATCATTCACCTGTGTCCAAACTGCCCAGGGGCTCTGCTTTCACTTCCGGCACACTTTGTGACGTGCGGTCTTGAACTCAGAGAGCCCATTCAACTAGACTTCCAGAAGGTGGAGCTGCCATGGTGAGTCCTACGGAGAATGGACGTATGGTCGTAACTAAGGGTGGAGGCTTATTGGACATAGTGGGGTGCTTTTTACTCCTGGCTCTGCGGTTCCTCAGAAAGGTGGAAAGGTGGCAGAGCAGCCCATGGATCTGAGTCCTCAAAGGCATCCTGGGTCTCAGCTTAACTGTTACCTGGCCTTCCTGTGGACATGAGTGGGTTTTACAAGCCCGACATGACGGTTTCCTTCTTTAGGTGGTTGTTGTGTGCCCCTCTGAGCTGGCATCAGAAGGAGTCACCATCCCCATCCTGGCTCTTAGTTCTCTGTGTGTAATAGCAGAATGTGTGAGCAGTCCCAACAAATGGTTACACTTTTTGAGGAAGCTGAGCCCCAGGTTCTCCAGTGCCATCCATGTCCATTTTCTACAAGTCATTTCCTTGGCTCCCCCACACCCTACCCCGACCCTGGAGCCTTTTCTGTAGCAGTTCAAAAACAGCAGGTCCACCTCTCCCGCTGTGGGGTGTGGGAGAAAATAGAAGAGTTTGAGTTAGTAGCAGAAGGTGCTGACTGTTCATGGGGTCCTCCTGAGAATTCCTGAATGCATGAGGCACGTGGGACAGAGTCCAGCTGGGTCATGTGCAGGCTCTCCAGCATTATCTGATTTGGAGGGATGTTACATGCCAGAGGCTTTCCAGTGTGTGGGAAGGCTGTTTTTCCAGTGTAGGTATTAGCCCGGCCGCCCATCTCTGCTGGAGCTGGTGTCAAGTCCTGGACTTTTCCACTGCTCTCCACCGTGTGGAATAGGCATCTGTCACAAAAGTGGTCTTTGCTGCTGGGGCCTCTCGTCGTCTGAGATGATGCATTGAAATTCTTGGGTTTACAGTTCCTGTTCGCAGAACATTTCTGGAGCAGCCGCTGTTTCCACTGAGACATTTTCAGTTGATTACATATCAAGTTCTCAAATACAGGAAAACACCCATTTGAATGGCTGTAAGAGTGACCGTTCAAGTAAACCCATTATGTCGCGTATCTTGCACAGACGGCATTTTAGAATGTACATACTTGCCCGGACTTTTGGTCACAGGACATAAGACCTCACCGTCCTTGAGTCAGTTCCTACTCCTAGCAACCCTGTAGGACCATGTCGAACCACCCCTGTGGGTTTCTGAGACCAGCTTGTATGGGAGTAGAGAGCCTCATCATGTTCCCTCAAAATGGCTGGGGCTTTCAAATTGCTGCCCTTACAGTTAGTAACCTTATCTGTAGCCCTGAAAACTCCTTAAGCCTGCTCATCGTTGAGCTGTGTTTGTAGTGTCTCCCAGATGTTTGCATTCTGCCTACTGTTTGGTTTGTCCAAACTTGCTCTCAGAATACTTCAGAATCACTCCCTTCAAGTTGATTGCAACTAATAGCAATTCTGCAGGACACTACTGATCTTGCACTTGGCAGCTCAGTGCAGGAGCCACGAGGCTCCTCTCGGGATTGAAATGTGAAGTTCCAGTTGAGGTTTCCACAGTTTATATTCAAGTCCTCTGAATTCGGACAAATTCTGTGGCGCGAAGGACTTTGCACATGATTGTCAGTGAGTCTTTTGAATTCTCTTCCGTGTGTCTTGCTGCTGTTTAACACACTTGATGGCAGTTTATGGCAGGTCTTGATCACGAAGCTCTCTGCAGTTTAGTTTTGCCTTTTTGAGCTTTCTGTATATGAAACCATAATCCTGCCACCGAATTCCATATGGGGATCCTGAGTGTTGCTGAGTAAAACTGCAGTTCGTAGTTTCACGTCACACCCTTCTTCCAGGCACTTGTAAACCACACCTTCAACCTCTAGCTGAGCACTCCGTTTTTCAGACTACTCAGGGAGTCCCTTTCGGGATCTACAAGAGTGAGTGATTCCTATCTTTGCTTTCCGTGTTGTGAATGACTTCCCTCAAGAATTGCTGGACCTTTTCAGGGGCTGCTTGATCTTTTTTCTGTTAGTCTTTCACGTGTTCCTATAATGATAGTTTGTGGTCAAACATATGAAAGCTCCATTTATAAATTAACTTAATATGAATGCAGTTGTATATGTTGTGTATGTGAACAAAGAAGCCCTTGGATAGAGTGGGTTAAACATTGGGCTGCTGACTACAAAGTATGCCATTCAAAATCACCAAAAATGTGCAGGCAAATGAAGAGTCTGCCTGCTCCTGTAAAGATGTACAGTCCCGGGAATCCGATAGGGCAGTTCTCCTCTGTCTGATAGGTTTACTGTGCATTGAACTCGATGCGTTGTCAGGGAGTTATGTGAGGACAAGTGCAAGCCTTCTTCTTCACAATTTCCTGGTTATTTGTGACTAAATACAATTAGAGACATGTTTTTTGAGGACTCTTCTTAATCACACACCTGTCTGACACCTTTTATCCTCATTAAAATGTATTTGCTCAAGCTTTGAGCAAGGGTTTGACAGTCCTTAAAACATACCAGGCACATTCCCACCTGCTGCCCTGTCATCTGTTTTTTCTCTTCCAGGCACAATCTCTTTTGTTGCTGTCCCTGGGTTAATTCTACCACATCTTTCAACTCAATGTTTTCACTGAATTCAATTCACTAGACTACAGAGGCCACAGGCTGCACCCTGACGGGCTCATCTCCTCCCCGTGACCCTTCTGTAAGCGATTGTCCAGTTGCCTACAGATGGGCTTTGGGTCTCCACTCCGCACTCCCCCTCATTCACAATGATATGATTTTTGTTCTTTGATTCCTGATACCTGATTCCATCGACACCTCGTGATCACACAGGCTGCTGTGCTTCTTCCATGTGGGCTTTGTTGCTTCTCAACTAGATGGCCGCCTGTTTATCTTTTTCTCTAGTTCTTTAATGTTTCCTTATCTCCACTATTCATGACCCCAATTCTATCTCACAAAACTGGCTAGACCAGAGCATGTACACTCTGGTACGAGAGCTCACAACACAGGGAATCCAGGACAGATAAAGCCCTCAGGACCAATAATGAGAGTACCAATACCAGGAGGGTAAGGGGAAAGTGGGGCGAGAAAGGGGGACAGATCACAATGAAAGACATATACCCCCCTTCCGGGGGGATGAGTGGGTGAAGGGAAACAACAGTTGGTGTAAAACATAACAAAAAATAATTTATAAATTATCAAGGGTTCTTGGGGAGGGGGGAGGGAAGAGCTGATATCAGGGACTCGAGTAGAAAGAAAATGCTTAGAAATGATGATAGCAACATTTGTACAAATGTGCTTGACACAGTAGGTGGATGGATGCTTTGTGATAAGAGCTGTAAGAACCCCCTATCAAATGGTTTTTTTAAAAAGTTAAAGCGGCCAGGCCCACCGGCCCGAGGGTGGTCATCCCATTCAGGCAGTCAAGTGGATGTCCTTTCCAGGATTTGCACATGTGAGAGAATTTGGAGAGGAACATCTCAAGGCTGGTGTGTGCGCCTCTGTTTCCTAGGATTCTCGCACAGTTTAACAGCCACATCCACTGCAAACTTTTCCAAATCTGAGCTACTTTTTCACAATCAGCAAACACAAGGGGGCGCTTGCTATTACGATACTTCACATAGTGTGTTCTTCATCAACAAATACTATTAGCGTGTGTTTGTGTGCCTGTTCAGATGTGTGTTCAGGGAAGCAGTCAGTAATAATTGCATTATAGTAGCTCTGTGCCTCGCAGTGTAAAAACTTGATGACCTCTGAATGCTCTTGTTAGTTATTTTTCACCCGTGTTGTTTCTGCCTTTTCAATTCCTCTCAGTTCCCTGGCCTGTCTCCATTAAGGTACAGGATGCACAGCAGCACAATTGTAGAGTTACAGATACGTAGAGGTTTAACATAGAAACTGTAGAAAATGCCACTTTCCTCAGAATAAGCATCTCTTCAGCAGGTAAAATGTCAGCTGTTTATCAGCTGGTTCTTCGAAGAGAACACCATGAGTTCAAGGCTTTGGGTTGACATTTTCTTAGTTCAAGTCACTGGGCCTCCTACACCTAGTGAGAGTCTAGAGGAGAAATGTAAATTCTTCACTGCTTACTAATTGTGACTTTGCTTTCACCCTGTGCTGCATGTTTTGCTATATATTCTGAATGGTCCTGTGCAAAGAATTGAATCCACCCCACCCCACCCCCTGCCCTCCATTGGGAGAGTAGTGCTGAATGTGGAAATTGGACTTTTATTTTAGGGCACTTTCCCCTGCTCTGTGTTCTGACTAATCGGGACCATAAAGATAGAGGGGAATAATATTGAGTTGGTCACAGATAACCTGTGGAGAGAGAAGCACATTGTGCCAGAAGAGATGTCCAGTCTGTGGGATGGTGTGTAATGAGAGAGGAAGTGAGTCTAGACAGTGACGGAATGAGGCCGATAGCTCTCCCCTGATGGCCATCCTTAGCAGAACACAGAACCCTGTGTCTGATGTCCATGAAGTCTCAGTGCACAGGACTGCCATCCTCCCCCGCCTTTCACCTATTGGAGTTCACGGTACCTTGCTGAACTAGCGTATGTGGGCTGTTTCAGGACGCCGTGGCTGTTGAAGATGTGGTTGTGGACTTTTCCCCGGAAGAATGGGCCTTGCTGGATCGTTCTCAGAGGAAACTCTACAGACACGTGATGATGGAAACTTTCAGAAACCTGGCCTCAGTAGGTATGGATGCTTTTCTCTTTTCAAATGTATAGTGATCCAATAAGTCATACCATTGATATTACTCCAGTATGTGGTCTGAGTAATGGGAATACCTTGCTACATAAAACAGATGCAGTCATTTGCTCTCAGCAGCATGCCTGTCATGGCTTCCCCCTAAATATAAAGCTTAGTATTGAACTAACTTCTCATTTCAATTGTGCCTGAGAACCTTAAATTTATGGGTAATAAATATAAACATTGATTTCATTGGTTCACAGAAGATTTTGTTTTTTGCTGTGGCTTGTGCAGACTCTGTTTATGACTAGTTTAACATGATGATATTGCTGTGATTGAATTTACCCTTGTCTGAACTCCAGTCCTTGGGGAACAAAGCGTCATCTCGGTGTCAGGGACGTGGTGTTGCCCTTTCAGTGTTTCCTTACGATGTGCCTTTCTTCTGAGCAGCCTGTCAGCTGCACAGATAGACCTCACCCTGCGCCAGTGTGTTGGGGGCCTGCATTTACCTGAGTTGTCCAGAGAAACAAAACATTGACATTATATATCTGTAAGAAAGAGCTTTATTCAAAAAAAGTCAAAGAGCTTTATATCAAGAAGTAATCTCTCCTTTTTGTTTAGTCTAACTGTTTTTCTGAATTTACTATTATTTGGGAGTTAATCATATCACAAATAATCTTTCATCAAGAAGTCATCCAAGGATGATCCAACAGAATTGGGTCCATGGGTCCAGAGCTAGCAGGAGCCCTCTTTATATTCAAGTGGTGTAGGCTGATTATGCAGAGTGGTGAAGCAGATTGCAGGGAGACCACAGGCTTGGTGAATACAGAGATGTATGCGGATATGTAGTTGGTGGAAACATAGCTGGTTGACAACAGAGTTCTGAGTGGAGCAGACTAAACAGGACCACCCGTAAATGGAAGCCCAGAGTTCCAGCAAGCAGGGAGACAAAGGCCCAAAGAGACATTGCTTCTACTCCATCTCTCTCATACGAAAGGCCACAGCCCAAAGAGGTATCATTCAGCTGCCACCTAATTGCAAGTTTGATTCCCCTACTACCTAAACAAAGTTACAGTCAAGCTTACGTAAAATCTGAGGGCCACACGAGGGCTTTAGAAGAAGGGATATTTTGAATGAAGGGGATGAACTTTGAACCAACAGTGGAGAAAAGTTACTTCTGTGCTGAGACATATTTGCTTCCCAGACATCTGATCCTGCCCTTCTGACTTTAACCAATCCTAATGTTACCGGCAAACCAGGGAGGTCTGGTATCTTCTGTACCTGTTTCAGCCAAAGACAAAGTCCCAGTGGATTTGAGAAAGTCAACTCTTAGTTTATTCAGAAAGGAGGGACAGGAGGAAACGGTGTGTTTTCGTACCTAGAAACCTCTTCAAAAATTCAACGAAGAGAAAATTATGTATTTTCAACTGTGTGACAGAAGCAAGTTCTCACAATGACCACTGGAAAAGATTGTTGTTAAAAAACAAGAGATACTTGTGGTTGTTCGACGCCATCAAGTTTGCTCACACCTATAGCAACCCTGTGCACTACAGATATCACATCATATGCATGCACCATCCTCAGAATTGTTCCCATGCTTCAGCCTGTTGTAACCTCTGTGTCAGTCCATCTCCTGCAGGGCCATCCTATTTTTCATTGTCTCTCCACTTTCCAAAGCACAGTGCCGTCTCTGGGAAAACTGGACATTCTCAATGATGTCGTCAGAGGCTCGCCATCCGTGCTTCTAAGGAACACTCTGCCCCTACTTCTTCTAGAACAGATCACTTTGTCCTCTTCCCAGTTAGTCCTGGGTACTTTTAGTCGTCTTCTGCCTACCCATGATTCAGTGCATCGATGCTTCTTCAGTCTTCTTTATACAATATTCAGCCTTCACATGCATATTGGGCAGTTGGAGAAAACCAATGATCGTGATGTTACTTACTGGTCCAGGTGTGAGGGTTTTGGTCTGTCCATAGACTTGGAATCCATACCACAAGGTGCAGTCCTTGATGTTCATCAGCAAGTCCTTCACATCCTTTTCACTTCAGCAAGATTGCATCACAGGCATATGGTAGGTTGTTAGTCAGCCTTCCGCCAACCCTGATGCCAGTCTTCTTTACAGGCTCCAGCTTCCCTGATGACTTGCTCAGCAGACAGATAGATCAAGTATGGTGAGAGGATAGAGCGGTGACGCAGACCTTTCCTGATCTTCACACATCCAGTACCCCTGTGTTGTGTTCTCACAGCTGCCTCTCCATCCATGCGTACGTTCCACAGCAGAGCCAGGAACTGCTCTGGAATTTGCATTCTTCTCTAGGTCATTATCCCCAGTTTAGTATGTTCTACAGAGTCCAGTCCCTTTGCATAGCCAAGGAAACACAAGTCAACCATGTTCTGTATTCTCTGCATTGAGCCAAGTTCCGTCTGACACCAGCAGTGAGAGCTCTTTTTTCAAGGTGTCTTATGAATCTGCCCTGACCCTCGCACAGCTCCCCGTCGGTGCACTGGTGCAAACATGGTTGCATGATCTTCAGCAACATTTTACTAGAATGTGATAGCAGTGACATTGTTGTACAGTTTGAGCTTTCTGTTGGGTCACCTCTCTTTCACTTGGGTAAACAGATCTCTTTGAGTCAGTCGGACAAGTAGCTGTCTTCCAAATTTCCTGGCATAAACAAGTGAGTGCTTCCAGTGCTTCATCAGCTTGCTGACACATGTCAGTAGGCCCTCCATCAGGCTATTGCTCTCCCTGCAGTTGAACTTCTTCCTTCAGACCCTGTGATCCTTGCTCATCTGCTACCTCCTGAAATGGGGACATGTCGACTGCTTTTTGGTACAGTGACTGTGTATTCTGTCCATCATTGTTTAATGCTTCCTCCATCACTCAATATTTTGCCCATAGAATCACTCAGTATTGCAACTTGAGCCATGAATTTTTCTTGAGTTCTTTCAGTTTAAGATATGCTAAATGGGTCCTTCCTCTTGATTACCTAATTCTAGTTTTTTACATGTATCATTATAATATTTTACTTTGTGTTCTCTATCTGCCCTTTGACATTTTTAATTCAGCCCCTTGAATTCATATTCGTCTTTTCTTCCATTTGCTTTAGCTACTCTGCGATTAAGAGCATAATCTCATCCATGACCTTTTGCTGTCTTCATGAGTGATAGTTTAATGTCCTCTCACAGCTCTTCACTCTTCTTCTTTAGTGTTCAATCTGTCTGATCTATTCGAGATGGTCTCAAAATTCAGGTGGAAAAGACTCAAGTCTTAGTTTGTCTTCCAAGAATTTATTTTAATTTTCTTCAGCTTTCTCTTGAACTTACATATGAGCAATTGATGCTCCTGAACTGAGTGTCTTTATTAGCTCTTCAAACTTGTCAATTTTTTTGTGTGCATCCCATCTGCAAAAGTCCATGTGTATAATTGTCTTTTTGCTATTGAAAAAAGGTACTTTCTATGGACAAATAATTGATTGTGCAAAATTCTATCCTGTGACCTCCAGTTTTTTCTGTCACCAAATCCATATTTTCAAACTACTTTCCCCTCCCCTTTGTATCCAACTCTTTGATTCCAATCTGCAATAATTATCGATTCATCTTGATTGCATGTTTCATTGATTTCTGACTGAACACATCTGTCGAGTTTTTCAACTTTTGCTTTACTAGATTTAGAGGTTATTAACTTTATAGTAGTTGTATCTATGGCTTTCTTCTGGAGGTGGATAGATAGACGTAATCCTGTCACCGACAGCATTGTATTTCATGATCGATTTTGAACTGTCCTTTGTGACAATGAGCGCCTGATATTTCTCTTGATTGTGTTATTCCCAGCATAACAAATCAAGCTTTTTTTGATTCAAAATGTCCTATACCAGTACATTTCTGCACACTAAAACCTATGATATGGGTCTCTATGCCTTCCATTTTATATGTGAACCCTCCTAGTTGTATTAGATTCACATTTAGCATATTTTAATTTCTTTATATTAGCAGCTTTTCACCACTGTTTGTTCTTGAATTGAGTCGTGCCGATCAGCGATGACAATTCTGAAAGTGCTAATCCCTTAGGCTTCATTCCGCTTACGTCACAGAGGCAGACACTACTTTGAGAATGCAGCCCCTCCTCAGGCACTGTCTCCTAAAATGTTCTGCCTGCAATCGGTAGGCCTTCAGTATCTGACAGCACTTGCCAGCTATGCGTAAGGTTTCAGCAGCTACTTCCTTCTAAGTGAGCAGGTAAATTCTTTATCATTGCCTGTTCTTGGCCTGGCTGCTCCACTGAAACCTGTTCTATTGGGTGGCACTGCCGACATTTGATATACCACTGGGATAGCTTACCCATCACAGCCACCCAGAAGCCAGCACAGTAGGACAAACTGATAGATAAGTGATGGCGGGAAGAGATGAGCTACTTTTCACAGTGATCATTGGGAAATGATATCAACACCCCTTGAAGCCTCATGCGTTTCTCTAAGCTAAATTGGACCATGCTTCCATGTCTGGCGTCCGCAGACTACCGCCTCCGAAGCTGCTGAATGGGCATTACTTTATATTAAAGGCCACTTTGCCTTCTTGAGTTCCCCCATCCCTACTGATTGAGTATAGGAGCGGAGTTTTGTGTCAGGGTAGCCATGTTCCCTTTGGATTTTTAATAAACTAAATCTAATTAAAACTGTTTTATATTTCTAGTGTTCGGATGAACAGCAGACTGGCTGTGTAAGCCCCTCATGTACTAATACACCTCGGTTCTTGGAGAACACTCTTCCCTGTTTCCCTCTTTTAGCATTCCATGTGGAGGATGCCTACTCCCTTTCGATGTAGCTCTTCTTATGAGCCTCTGCTTGTGTGTGAGGCAGTCTCAGTCTTCATGGGAGAATTTCCTAGTCAGCTTTATTTTGATCTCTGCCACAGTATTGAAACGACGATTGGCTTTGGTATTGCTTTTTCTCACAGCTCTTTTTCCCCCACTGAGTAATGACATTCCTTTTTGTTTTACTTCGTAAACTACACCTTGTGTCTTTGTTCAGTTTCACAAAGCCTTGATGGTGAAGAAAAGTTGTCCACTGAAAATACAATCGTACAATTCCTGAAAAATGGAACCTGGTCCTCCATGATAGGAGAAGTATGTGGATTTCATGTCATTGAAGATCTGGATCACAAGCAGAGCCCTCATGGGAGGTGAGTATCAGTCACTAGATAGCAGTGCTTCAAAGGGAATCTGAAGGCAGAATGCTGGCACTAAATGATTTCTGTCCCCTAGGTCTTCAGATTGTGGGAAAATTTAATATTATCCACTAGCTTCTGGGAGTACCCGAGTATATGTGTATATGAGTGCATGTACATATGTGTGTATGTATGTCTATATCTACATGCAGACATGGACAGTAGGGATCACAGTGCAGACTTGCAAACCGTGCACTGTTGAATATTATGACTCATGGCAGTGCCATCCAATGTCTCGGAGCCACGAATTGATCAGATTTTGGTGAGCGGCCTCCCTTTCTGCGGTTCAGCTTAATGATTGTAGTGGGGTCTGGTGCCATAAGGGTTCCCAGTATGGCTGCTCAGAGCACCATCTGCCTATCGAAACCACCAGCTACCTGTGGGTGAAAAACAGGGCCTTCGGCTTCTGTAAACAGCTACAGTCTTGGGAACACAGAGTGTTTGCAAGGGTGTCCACTTTGAGTGGACATGGACTCCGTGTCTGTGAGTATGCATGGATACATTTAAGAATATATATATAGACAAGTGTTTGTATTTGTATATAGTCGCTTTAATGTTATATATTGTAATAATTTCCACACAACAGTTACATGTATGTGAATCAGATATTGAATATTTAAAACATAATTCATTTACGTACAATTAGAAAACCCCACATGATGGAAGTAGAGTGAAATGAATAGGAGCTTCTCTGTGAGGTGATGTAATCTTTGAGAGTTGAAGCAATTCAAAGTAAAAATACATGTTTATTGTGATGGTCATGTGAATTTGTAATCAATATGTGTTTAATTGTGTGCTACTCTTTTTGCAGAAGACACATCACACAGAATGTCTGTGAAATGAGTAAGGAAAATGAGTGTGGACAGACCTGCAGCTGGATTCCAGATCTTCACATGCTCAAAGGACGTTCTAATGAACTGCATCCTTCAATGTCTCACCACTGTGCGAAATCCTCCTCGGACCGATCACCATCTCTTAAGCGTCATAGCAGTTTTTACTCGGAAGGTGACACCTGTCAGGATGGAAAACACGGAGAAGGCTACAGTTGCCCTCCTTACTCCAACATTCCCAGAACTCTTAGTGGAAAGAAACGTATGGACTATACGGACTATGGAAACACCTTTGGTAAACCTTCAAGAAATCACAATGAAGAGAGGCCTTTTGATTGTAAGGAATGTGGCAAAGTCTTTCCTCTTTTGGCACACTTGGCTAGGCATATGAAAACCCACAGCGGAGACAGGCCTTTTGAAGGTGAGCTCTGTGGGAAATCATTTCGTCAGTCCTCAGACCTCACTGCACATAAAAGAATTCAGTGTAGAGAGAGCCTTCACAGATGCGAGGAATGTGGCAGAGCCTTTCGTGATTCTTCACAGCTCACCGTACATCTTAGAACTCACAGTGGAGAGAGGCCTTATTCCTCATCTCTCATTCATCGTAGGAAAACTCCCAGTGGAGACAGGCCGTATGTGTGTAAGGAATGTGGCAGAACCTTTTCTTATCCCTCAAAGCTAACTGCACACGTTAGAACTCACAGTGGAGAGCGGCCTTATGAATGTAAGGTGTGTGGGAAAACATTTATTCTTTTCTACATGCTCCTTAGACATATAAGGGTTCACAGCGGAGAGAAGCCTTTTGAATGTAACGAATGCGGCAAAACCTTTGCTCAATCCTCAGGCCTCATTCGACATCGGAGAATTCACAGTGGAGAGAAGCCTTACCAATGTAAGGAGTGTAACAAAGCCTTTACTAGTTACTCAGATATCATTGCACATTGTAGGATTCACAGTGGAGAGAGACCTTATCAATGTAAGGAGTGTGGCAAAACCTTTACTCATCACTCACCCCTTATTTCACACAGGAGAATACACAGTGGAGAGAGGCCTTTTGAATGTAAGGAGTGTGGCAAGTCCTTTTCTCGCTCCTCAAACCTCATTGTACATAGAAGAATTCACAGTGGATTGAAGCCTTATGAATGTAAGGAGTGTGGCAAGGCATTTACTCGTCAATCATCCCTCATTTTACACAAGAAAATTCACAGTGGAGAGAGGCCTTATGAATGTAACGAATGTGGCAAAACCTTTACTCAATCCTCAAGCCTCATTCGACATAAGAGAATTCACAGTGGGGAGAAGCCTTATGCGTGTAAGGAGTGTGGCAAGGACTTCAGTAACTCCTCAGCCCTGAGTAAACATATGAGGATTCACAGTGGAGAGGGGTTTTATGAGTGTATGGAGTGTGGCAAAGGCTTTACCGACACTGCATCCCTCACTGAACACAAGAGAGTTCACAATGGAGAGAAGCCTTATGAGTGTGACGAGTGTGCCAAAGCCTTTACTAAACCCTCCAGCCTCATTCGACATAAGACGATTCACCGTGGAGAGAGGCCTTATCAATGCAAGGAGTGTGGCAAGGACTTTAAGTCCTTCTCATCCCTAACTAAACACACGAGAATTCACAGGGGGGCGAGGACTTATGAATGTAACGTGTGTGCCAGGGCCTTCACTCAGGCCTCACATCTCATCCAGCATGAGAGGATTCACAGTGGAGAGAGACCTTATAAATGTGAGGAGTGTGGCAAGGACTACAGGTACTCCACATCCCTCATTAAACACTTGAGAATTCACAGTGGAGAGAGGCCTTATGAGTGTAAGGAGTGTGGCAGGGACTTCAGGTACTCTACATCCCTCACTAAACATTTGAGAACTCACAGTGAAGAGAAGCCTTATGAATGTAAGCATTGTGGCAAAGGCTTTAAGCACTATTCCTCCTTCACCAGACATGTGCGGCTTCACAGTGAGGGGAAGTTATGAGTGTAAGGAGTGTGGCAAGGCCTGTACTGATCCACCAGACCTCATTCCACATAGAAAAACTTAGATGACAGAGGTCTTATGAATGGGTCCAAACCTGTACTCCATGCTCAGCCCTGAACATAGGAGAATTCACTGTGGAGAGAAGGCTTATGACTAGCTTGTATGGGAAAGCATTTGATCAATCATCCCGCCTCAGTAAACATCTAAGGAACCACAGTAAGTCGACACTTTATGACCCTAAGAAGAACTTCAAAGACTTTAGTCATGCCTCAACCATCCTTGAACAGAACTCAGGAAGTAGAGCTTATGAATGTAAGGAGTGTGGCAAAGATTTCAATTACTCCCCAGCCCTCTTTCAAAGTGTCTTAGTTGACAGTGGAAAGCAGCCTGAGGAATGTAAGCAATCTGGCAAAGGGTTTGCTGTACCTCCCAGTTCACACAGGTTTTCTCACAGTGAGGAGTTGCTTTTCCCATGTAAGATGTGGGAAAGCATTTATTCCATCTTCATACTCACTAAATACCTGAGAACTCACAGTGGAGAGAGATCTAATCTCTAAGGTTGTGGGAAACTCTTTGGGAGAATTAACAAAACATCCTCATGTGAAGTGGTTTTATTAGGATGATGACTAAACATTTTTAATTCTGGTCTCAAAAATCAGCCTCATGCATAGAAAAAGTGTTATTTATAAATCTCTCCGCCTGAGATGGGGGGGAAAAGGGAGAGCCAATCATAGTGATCGGTGTATGAACAAGCCCCAGGGGCATGAACAACAGAAACATGGTGAAGAGAGCGGACAGTGTAAGACTCTCGCTGTAGATGGAGCCTGGACTACAGTGTGCATGCCGGGCAAGCCTCAGGTGAGCTGGCTTGTGCACCTGGACTCTTGTTGCCTGATGTTCCCGATGTGTGCAGAGATCATGCCTGGAAACCCTTGGGGGATATTTCAGAACAATTAAAACTCTGCCCCCCCCCCCAATATATGAAAATAAAAACAATTTATCAAGGATTTACGAGTGTGGGGGAGAGAGTGGGGAAAAAAGCTGATAAGGGCTCATGTAGAAAAGTGTTTTTGAAAATGATGGAAACATGCAAGTGTGCTTGATACAATTGATGTTTGGATTGCTATAAGAGCTGTTAAGAACCCCCAGTAAAGTGATTTATTTAAAAATAAATAAAAGGGGGGAAAATCTCATCCTCTAACTCATCTAATGTAAACTCACCACTTGATTGTCTGTGTGGGGTTAAGTGTTTTATACTTACGTTGTGTACATTGTACTCATCATCATCCAATTACCAGTAGAGATTGCATCCCAATTGCTGTGCCTCTGAGGCATGCACTGTCTGCAGAGAGGCCCCAGCTGCATTTTGTAGACAGCTGGCCTCGCTGTGGCAGCTCGTAGAGAGACATACATGGGGGTGGGAGGTGGGGGTGTGTGAAATCCGTAGGTGGTGATTGAAAGACATGAAAAAGGAATCCGTGTAAGGCATGCTGCTTCTACATTGTCCACAGGTAGATCATGAGATCTAAGACTTTCCCTTGTAGAAGGAAGCCAGTGACTAGAGACCAGTGTTCCTCAGTGACTGGATGGGCCTAATGGAAAGGGAGAAAAGGGTTGGGGGCAAGTTCGAAAAGGCACGTGTTGCTGCGCTGAGTTTCTCTCTAAACAGTGGTCAAATCCTGGGCAAGAAGAATGGTGATTGAACAGCATGCAGTGGTCTTCCTGCCACCCAGTCCTACGTTTGTAACTCCAGAAGTATTCCTATGAAATTAAAGACACCTTTGTTTGTTTGTCTGTTTTTAATCATTTTATGGGGGCTCGTGCGTCTCTTATCACAAGCCATACATTCACCCATTGTGTGACGACACCTTTTTGTAGGAAATATCAGACTCTGAAGGTCTCCCCCTGGGCATACCATCCACAGAATTTTAGCCATTTCTGCACATTTTCACTTCAGCAAGTCTGGCGTTCTTGAAGGATTCAATTTGTGTTTCCTTTCAGGGTTCTCTGAGTCCTGGGTTAAATCGTTGTGTGAAGTGATAAGATCAGGATAGGTGGATTGCACAAGGTTTACCCATGAAATTCTCGAAAAGCCCTTGCTTAATTGAGTGAATGAACAGTTGTATAGATGGGATGAGAAAAGAGAAGGAGAAAGAATGAGTGAAATTCTTTAAAGTGAACATTAAAGAATTAACAAAGGAGTCAAGCCCTTTTACCAATGTGCTTTTCAGTTTAATTAAGTAGAATTCCTAATAAGAATTCTTGATTGTTCTTTGTCCTTCAGAAATCTTTATCAAGCCTAATCCTTTGACACTAAAAAAATATTCCCCGTAACCTTCTGCGCTGATGCCTCTGATTTGAACTGAGCTGGAGCAGCACGCCTAGAGCCTCGTGATAGTTTCATGCTGATGCCTCTGATTTGAACTGAGCTGGAGCAGCACATCGCCTAGAGCCTCGTGATAATTTCATGTCAACTTGCGTAGCACACAGGATCTAACATCGTGTGGTCAACTCCATGATGAACTCTTTTTTTTTTTAACCCAAAGAAAAAGACGCCTTTTGTTTTCATCTCCAAACAACAAACTGTTGACTTTTTATTCTCCCAAAATAATCATGATTATCGTGCACAAAAATTGGCATTTACAATTTACAATGCATCTTCAAAGTATTTACCTTTAATGGGAAACTTAGCAACATAGTATCTCAAAATTAAAATGTTAAAAAAAATCCATCTTGTTGCCTTTATAAAACTAAAGAAAAGCAAGCATAAATCAAGAAAATCCATTCGTACTTCAGGTCCTTCTCCAGGAGCAGACTTTGTTGTTATTTCCATTTAGCAGAATCGGATCCAATTTAATAATCTCCTGATGTGATTTCAAATTCAGTGACACTTCCCATTACCATATTGACAAAGTCATCAAAACCTAGATGTGTGCCAACATCTCCCTTGTGACTCTTCAGCACAATTGAATTATTGGACCTATGTGTTCGTCCACAAGTGCTAGAGCAGGGGTTCTCAATCTGTGGGTCTCGACCCCTTTGGGGGTTGAAAGACCCTTTCACGGGGGTTACCTAAGGCTATCGGAAAAAAACATATTTCTGATGGTCTTAGGAACCAAGACAGCGCTACTCTGCCTCCTGGTGGGTCCACCCACTTTCAGCTATGCCCACATAGGAGTACCCAGCATGAAGACTGTTACCCATGCTACACCATGCTTCACGACAAAATTCCATGTATTTGTCATTAGAAGTAAATATTTCACAATATTTAATTACATATTGCTTTTTTGATTAATCACTATGCTTTCCTTATGTTCAATTTGTAACAATGGAAATACATCCTGCATATCAGATATTTACATGATGATTCTAACTAGCAAAAGTACAGTTATGAAGTAGCAACGAATATTTTATGGTTGGGGGTCACCACAACATGAACTGTATGAAAGGTGTATGGCAGTAGGAAGGTTGAGAACCACTGCTCTAGAGGCAGCAGCTGAGACGGGTTCCTAGGAGCGTTTGCGGCCCTGGCTAAGCTGGAGGTCATAATGGACCCTTGAGTGAAGGAGTCAAGCAGTTGTGGAGAGAACAGCCCCCCTCTGGTCACAGCCTTGACACAATTGAGGCAATTTTCATTCCAGGGGTTGCCTACTATTAGTGCAAATCAACGGCGTATAGAAGGGAGATGACTTCTGGTGGAAGTGGGAACTGCATCTGGTTTGTCAACCTGGTTTATCACTGGCTCAACCCAGGAGTCTTCAAGCCATCCGCATTCTGCCGGCCTTGGATGTATTAGGTTGAGCTCAGATCCAGCTCCATCAGCCTCTGGTCTTCCTGTTTACCTTCCTCCGTCCTCTTAACCCCTGAAGCTGCACGAATCAGGAGAAGCTTCCAGCTTATGTCGGACCCGCATGTTTGAACTGAACTGGACTTTCCCACTATGTCCACACTCATGCACGTGTCTCAGCTTCTACTTCCCTAGAGAACCCAGCCTGACACTGCCCCGCTTGATTGGACCTTGATTGACAGAAGCCATTTAGTATGGCGAGGGGATTCATGGGAGATGTGTCTTTCAGCAGTAAACCCAGCGTAGGAGCATTTTAAACATGTTTGGTTTGGAAGAAGCTTTTATGTATTTGCACTAAAACTGTAGAAACAACTATTATTTACATTTCCGTATGCATATAAAGCATACGCAACTACCAAATGTGTCCCTGTGACTGTATTGTCACTCGAGTAGTCCAATTGCTCTCTGGGTTGGGGCAGAAAGTAGTTACGTTGAGGCCAGGACACCCAAGAGCATACATTTTGCATCTGGGCAGGCGCTGGCTGAACAAAGCCTTCAGTCACCTCCCAGGCACCTTCCTCCCCATGTCAACAGACCAGAAGTGCCATCTCCTCAATCCTGCTGTGGAGTGCGAGCAAGGCTGAGACGGGGGAACAGTGCCCCTCTATATTCCTTTATGGGTTACTCAGAGGGTGGCTGCCAGGGCCATCTCCACAGCCTTCATCATGGATAAAATGGGCTCCCCGAGTAGCCTCCTAAATGTTCTTTGCCCATTCTGTGACATGTGAAACCGGGTAGGAAAATCTAGGCCCTACTCCATCCCTGCAAACACATCCCTCTGCAGCTGTCTAATGTTCAAGGAGTAGATCCTGGGGTGGGGCTTTGATTGGTGTTTTCTTTACATTTTGATAAGCCCTGAGTGTTTTCCTTCATTGGAGTTTTTAATGATCAAATAATTATGAAAACATAAAGTGCCAAATGAGGCACCTGGGGTGGAGATGGGTGAGTAACATCACTGTCAACCCCCCTGCCTGCTCGTCCCTGCCAGAAGCCATCCAGGCACTCAGGAAGGACAGACACTGGCCCCTCCCCTCACCCAGCATAGCACAGACACAAGCCAAACCATTCCTGGCGTCTAAATACATGTATCGAGGAACCGGAAATATACTGGGTGGGAGAAAGTGGTTAGCATGTTGGGAATGTAGTGCTATGACAACAGGAAAAGGCTTGAGCAGCACAGCCTGGGCGATGTGAGCACACAGCTTCAGGATGGTAAACTGTTCAGTGGTGAGAGCACCCGGAGGCACCCCATATGAGTTAGTTACAGTTTATTGTGCCAACCTGGTCGATAAACCCCTGTGGGTTAATTGAAGTGCAGAGAGATAAATGGCTCGGTGAGCCTTGCCTTTCGAGTTCTCGGGTTTTTGCTTTCTGATGGTCGGACCAGGGTGAAAGCGCCTTAGCCAGTTCTCTGCTTCAGCTGGCAAGGCTCATTTCCTGAAAGACATCACCAAGGAGAAGCCATATGGACCTACCCCAATGCAGCCTGGGTGCTGAAGCAGCTGTGTGCAGAGTCCTGCGAGCACTGAGATGCTGACACACTCACTGACTCGGCTTTCCTCCTGCAGTCGGTGTCATTGTGTGTGTTTTGTGAGATGGAGGAGGACTTTGTGGATTGGTGTCGGACATATGGGTTAATGTTGGACTTGTGGGCTCGGGCAGCACTGGGTTGGGATGTTTTCTTGATGTGCACTTAACCTTTATATAAAACTCTCTCTTCTACATGAGTTTCTGTGGATTTGTTTCTCTAAAGTACCCAGATGAACACACCATATCTTTGACCCATGCTGGCAATGACTGACTGGGCACACAGGTTCCTTGAAGGCATTGCCCAATTAATGGCATTGAATCTCCCCGTTGTGCAGGGGTTTCAGCTCCCTGGTGGGTCCATTTGCTTTTCTTCCCACTCTGGTCCTCCTGGGTGACAAGGAGACAGCAGACAGAGTAACCCGTTTCACTCCTGTGCTCGAGGTAACAGGGTGTCTTGAGAAGTTGGACGAATAACCCCCAACTGGATGCTGATATTTCTGACTTTTGTTCCTTTCTTCATTAAACTTTGAAACATAAAACTCCTGTTGAAGTTTAATTCTGTCTCTTAAACACTGACCAATCATCAGCATCATTGTCCTCTTCTCGGCACCTCCTGTGCTTTTGACAGGGCCAGGGCTCTGGGTAGTGGCC